ATTGTTCAGTTCCCACCTATGAGTGAGAACATGCGGTGTTTGTAAACATGGCTTTTTAAAAGAAACGATAAATTAACATGGTTTTAGAAGTAAAAATAATAAAGCTCTTTTTAAAAAACGTTTTACAGTAAAATACTTCCTCCCACCCTATTCCCAATCAGGAATGACTGCCATTAAAATCTGCTGTGTTGATTTGTAGAAATATGCATATCTCTTCACCCTGACTTTTAACAAAAAGCAAACGGGGTGTATGCTATACACACCATCACATGCCTTGCCTTTTTGACATGGGGGACAATGGTGATCCAAGTCAGCATCTGCAGATAACCTCATTTTTTAATTCCTGCATAGTATTCTATTAAATGTACATAGTCTGTTTTATTTCACCAATTCTCACCTGATGGACTACTGGGTGACAGTCAGACAATACTACTAATACAATGCATATATTTGAGTCTAAGTCTTCATGCAATGTGGGATATACTTATAAAATAAAATTCCTCCTCAAGTTCCCAGGTCAAAGGGTGTATGTACTTCTAATTTCAATAGGTATTGCAACATTATCCCAAAATAGACTACATGATTTACATTTCCTCTAATAAAGTATGGGCATGCCTGTTTCCTCACAGGCCCTATAGAGTATAAGCAAATTTTCTGATCTCTGCCAACTTGGTAATTAAATGTTTTTGACTGCTGTAATTAGCCTTCTTTCCTAAAATTAAGAGTAATGGTGGACATTTTTTTTTCATATGATTAGAAGTCTTGTTCTGTGAGCTAACATATCTTTTGTGGTGAAACCAGAGAACAGAACAGTTTTTTCCAATATACCCGAAAAAAAAAAAAAAAATCAACATCCTCAGACTTTGGACTTATAAACTCCATATGCAAGCAGTATGCCATGCCATTCAAGGTAGCTTCAAACATTTAAGACAAGCATTAAAAGAACAAAGATTAAGTCACACGTTTAAAAAAATTATGTGTCTACTATGTAACAATTATACATTTTCTAACCTGCCTCTTCCTCTTTTGAAGAACTTTTGCATCTCCCAAGAAAATATATCCTATAAAAGAACTCAGAAAATACTATACCACTCTAAGATAGTTACAAAGAAACATGTATAATATTTGTATGATTTCCTTCACAAAAGCAGACATATATGTAGACCACTCATATACCGCATCAAACCAATGCTGCCAACTTACCCATTAATAGATTTGAAAAGTATTTCATAGTCTTTCTCTGTAAGATCCAGCCTGAAAACAATAAAAAGTTATTGTTATATTTGTGAAACTTACAAGTAAACCTCTAAACGAAGTCACCACATTACTTTTAAAAAGCCAAATAAAAACTAATTTTTAATTACTAGACAATATTATCTACTTTCCTAGAGGCATTTTTGCAAACCACTTGAAAGCCACATAATTCTATCCTTGTTTTGCTAATCAGACAAGTAAATCAGACAGACATGCTTTTCTGTGATCTAACGTAATTTAATATTGTGAAGTATGTTTTAGTATGCAAAACATTAAAGACTGTGAGATTTAGGCACCAGTAATTTCTCTACTAACCAAAAACTACAAAAAGAAATGTAAGAATAGTCAGTAGTTTTATGTAAAGACTCCTTTAAGTAACTTTATTTATCATGCCTATTTAACTACAGGCAGCTCTGGCAGATGAAAAAATATATAAATAAATGTCAAGTCTCTGCTTCATCTTACCTCAACAAACTAGTTGCAAGAGTCTAGGGACTACTCTGCATTTCAAAGTCAGGACGGTTCAGATCTAGTCTGAATTGACAGACTACAGAGAGATGACTGTAGAACAGCCTAAATGCCCAGGTAATTACTCTGAAAGACCCTTGATCAAACACCCCTTAAGGGCCTCCTAACAATTGCCATATTATTGGTGACTTTATTCCCTTTCTCCAGAAAAAAAAGATGGGATTAATCTGTGACATACGGCGACAACATTTACTAAGTCACAGTAAGACATTTGCTCTCCCAAAACTTCAATAAAATGCAACAATAAGGGAAGAGAGCACCAAGTCGGTGAAATCCTTGCAAAAACTCTCCCACATTTAGCAGCCTTTGGTTTCTGCGAGAGAATAAATGGTACCTGTCCTCTCAACTTGCCCTAAAGGAAGTAGACTTATGACTAGATGTCAACTAGTCCATTTCTGCCCTCAAAGAAGTTTTCGGGGGAGGTGAGATCCCTCACACCGATTATTAACTAGACACCTGTGATATCCAGAACACAGGCTGTGTTTTGCCCGCAAACAACTTTGGGATCTACTCTCAAGTTCAAACAAGCTTTGCAAGTGCAGGTCTGTCTTTCACAAGTTCATAGTAATCTCTTCCTGGCAGAGGGCCACAAAAGCAATGGGTAATACCAGAATGGTGCTTACCATGGTCTTAAGTGGAGAAATACTGACAGGTAGCCCTGCCTTGGGAAGTGACAGGGAGGTGAAATATGAATCTACATGTACCCAGTACTCTGCCAATCTAATCTCCCCAGATTGTGGCAATAAAAAGGAACCAACCAGTCAGGACCCAGAATTCTCCCCATGGATATTTAAACCAGAATGGGCAACCACTACCATCACGGACCAAAATGGATTTAGATCACACAGCTGCACTCCAAGGACTCCTGCCAGCTAGCAGTGCAAGCTAGTTTCAGTCATTTCATTAATTCTAAATAAATGGCTCCCACATTGTCCATGACTATAGTTTTGGTCCCCACTTATCACTATTAAGAGGCTTAATTGTCACAGGGGAAGGAGTGTGCCATGTCACAACTCTGGTGCCTAGGGGCCCTGGCAGAGAATATAACTGTAAGTTGCACATTGTCAGACATTTCCTGAAACAAAAGCCCCTTTCAACAAGGTATGAGAAACAGTTTATTCCCTCCTTAACTGTAAGGAAATGGCTTAAGCCTGGTGATGATGGCAAATGACACAGTTTTAGCAGCATGAAAAGGATGGCAAAGCACTGTTGCCAATGGGGAGTGTTTGCCCCATTTAAAACCCAATCCAAATAACTGTCTTCAAAAAAACCAAAAATTCAGACTCTTATAAAGTCTGATTTGTGGTCTTTGGGGTTTTTTTTGAGAAAGGTCTGGCTCTGTCACCCAGGCTGGAGTGCAGTAGCGCCATCTCAGCTCACTGCAACCTCCACCTCCTGGGTTCAAGTGATTTTCTCACCTCAGCCTCCTGAGTAGCTGGGCCGATAGGTGCACGCCACCACTCCCGGCTTTTTAAAAAATTTTTTATAAATAGGGGTTTTTCCATGTTGCCCAAGCTGGTCTCAAACTCATGAGCTTAAGTGATCTTCCCACCTCGGCCTCCCAAATTGCTGGGATAATAGACCTGAGCCACCGTGCCCAGCCTGATTTGTGTTTTAAAACGCGGTGTGAACAACACACATTTTTAAACCAAAAGCTGCAGCCCATGGGCTGTTGTATGCTACCTCTGAGGAAGCAGGACATTCTGTTTTCCACTAGTCCCACACTGGGAATTTATGACAACCTGAGAGCACCAAGCACCTGAGAGAGAAGGTGGCAGGAAGAAGGCAGAAGGAAACCAAAGACAAATTTCTTGACCTATTTCAGAATGCTTCCCAGGTCTCCCATCTCTTCCTTTTCACTTCTAAACCACAGAAGTTGACTCCTAGCATCCAAAATTCAGAAATGAACCTAACATCATCATGATCATTTCAGTCTTATTTTGCATCAGATAATCCTTTGCAGGCTAGTCTGTGAACTTAGCCCCTATGTATTACACTGTTTCTACAGGATCTCATGATTCCAACAATATACCTTAAATGAACTCTGAGAACCCAACCTGGAAATTAACCTATATGCTGACAGTCACGTTCTCAGCATCTCTCATAAATACCAATATTCTGCAAAGTCATTCAGTTTCAAAACTCCCATGATTTCAAAACTTCCATCATCCTTATCTGTTTTTTCTTCCCTGTGCCCTTTTATTAGTCATCATATATTGGTGATTTTTTTTTTAAACAACACTTACCTATCATTCCCACACCACCGGTCTAAGCCAAGCCCTCAACACTTCACACCTAGCCTACTGCAACTACCTCTAAACTGGTCTACCTGCCTTAAGGCATTTTGTTTTACTTTTTTAAAGACTTTATTTTTTAGAGTAATTTCAGGTTCACAGCAAAATTAAGGGAAGGTTAAGGATTTCCTATACAACCCTTGCCCCAAAAGATGCATAGCTTCCTCCATTAACATCTTGGGTGGTACATTTTAACTGTTGATAAAAACACACTGACACATCATAATTGCCTAAATCCTAGTTTACATTGGGGTTCATTCTTGGAATTGTACTGTCTTCAATTATTTGAATGAGTGTGAGAAGGGCTGGTATTAATTCTGCTTTAGATGTTTGGTAGAATTCACCAGTGAAGCCAGCTGGTCTTGGGCTTTTCTGTGTTGAGAGGCTACTGATTACCATTTCAATCTCTTCACCAGTGACAGGTTTGTTTCCTGTTTCTTTATGATTCAGTCTTTGTAGACTGTGTGTTTCTAACAATTTATTCATTTCTTCTGGGTTACACGTGTTGTTGGCATACAGTTTCTTGTAAGTAGTCTTTATGAACCTTTTTATTTCTGTAGCATTAGTTGTAATGTCTCCTCTTTCATTTATGATTTTACTTCATTTATTTTGTATAATTTCAACTTTTATTTTAGATTCAGAGGGTATGTGTGCAGATTTGTTACATGGGTATACTGTGTGATGCTGAGGTTTGGGGTACAAAAGATCCTGTCACCCAGGTAGTGAGTCCAGTATCCAACAGGTAAGTTTTCAGCCCTTATCCCCCTCCTCCTCTAGTAGCCTTCAGTATCTATTGCTGCCATCCTTGTTTCAATGGGTACCTAATGTTTAGCTCCCACTTATAAGTGAAAACATACGGTATTTGGTTTTCTGTTTCTGCATTAATTCACTTAGGCCTCCAGCTGCATCCACATCACAGCAAAGGATATGATTTCATTCTTTTTTATGGCTGTTCTGCCTTTTGTCTCTCCTATCTCCCATGCACATGGTCAGTGCTAACATCCTAGAACAGTCTGCATTTAAAAGCTTCCTTGATGAAAACTTGGAAACACTGTTCTGAAGACTCTCTAGAGCCTCTTACTCAGCTCTAAAACTCTGATGTTACATGGGTTTCAAATAAAATGTCATTTGTAAAATTAGATATGCTACTAAAATATGAAAGACTAATATCAAAAGCAAATGGTAATCTTGGTGTAGAAACAGTTAATTTAAATGTAAAAGATCATACGAGAAAACAATTCTCATAAATCTAAACCTAAAGCCATTTTGTGGTACAATTCTCTAAATTGTAATATTGGCTTTATTAGTAGTAGTATATTTGAACAGTACTTTTGTTATAATTTTTGATGAGAAATTATTTACAGAAACAGGCTGTATAGAATAAATAGTGTTTTGTGTGTGAAATCACTCAAAATGGATTAGATGAGGGTGCTGAAAGATTATAAAATACATTAATTTTAGCTGACAAGATATTATAAATACATGTAAGATTCTGGTTGTTAGCTCCTTCCAAATGAAAAATATGGGAAGAATTCAGTTCTAAATGAAAATATGAGATGAATCATCTCATTCTTATAGGAACATTTTATCACAAAAATAATGTAGTGCCTTTAAAACTGCAATACCTATAATCTACACTGAAGCAACTCTAATGCATTAGTAATTTACAAACTTTTAAAGTAGAGTGTGAAGGTATTTTAAAAGTCATTTTCTAAAAACCTCCTTCATTCCCTAAGTGTTCTCTTATCCTAATATTATAAAATAAAGCTGGTTAAACTGTAGATTTTTTAAAAAAATTTTTTTTCAATGGCCTTTAGGGTAAAATTGGTTTTTGGTTACACAGATTAATTGTATAGTGGTGAAGTCTGAGATTTCAACGCACCAGTCACCCAAGTAATGTACAGTGTACCAAATATGTAATTTTTTATCTCACACCCCCACAACCACCGTCTCCCACTCTGAGTTTGCATAAATTTTAGATTCTTTTACTCCATTACCTTCATAGTATCTGTGAGGACCACCTTTTCTAGGGTAAAGGAAACTATCATTTCATTCTTGATGCTAATGCATATGACATACAGTACCTCTAATGACGTTACAGGTAACACACAGCTTCCCACACTGAACAATGCAATGAGAGACTCTAAGCAACATGTTTGTGGCAAAAATCAGGCTCAATGTTACTGCATTTAAACGATGTAATCATAAAGAGAAAGCACTAATTTTAGAGATATTATGCAGTAATTATTATTTTTTTGAGACGGAGTCTTGCTCTGTTGCTCAAACTGGAGTGCAGTGGTACAATCTCAACTCACTGCAACCTCCACCTCCCTGGTTCAAGTGATTCTCCTTCCTCAGCCTCCCCAGTAGCTGGGATTACAGATGTGCACCACTGCACTCAGCTAATTGTTGTATTTTTAGTAGAGACAGGGTTTCACCAGGTTGGCCAGGCTGGTCTCGAACTCCTGACCTCAGGTAGTCCACCCGCCTCGGCCTCCCGAATTGCTGGGATTATAGGCATGAGGCACCGCACCCGGCCATATGCAGCAATTTCTTTACAGAGTAAAATTTTAAAAAACACTGAATCATACCTTACTGGTACAACTCTTGCACCTGCAGACTCCAAATACTTTACATAGGATGCAGCAATATAGTATCTTCCATAGTTTTTCATGACTTTATTACGGCATTTTTGCATTAATATTCCTAATAACAAAAAAAAAAGTTTAGTTTCAAGCAAATTTCTTCTTGCTCAGAAACTGAAATCTATCACAGCAAAAATATCATATTTTATTATTTCAATTCACAGAATTAAATAGGAAGTTTCTCCTCCAAGTCCACCCACAGGCTGTGGGAAAGAAGCAGAGGAGGCTAATCTTGGTTTCAAGTAGATCTATCTCTCACCACATCAGGGAAGCCAAATAAGCCCCCAAAGAAGGACTACAGTAGCACATGCAGCCTTTACACAACTGTAGACCTAGAATCCATCTAAAGAATACAGATCCTTAAATCTACAAGACTGTCGCTCCTTTCCCACACATACTCACAGACACACTGATTCCCTGTCAATGAAGCAAAGGAGTGAAAACATCTTCCATCCACACCTCTCCAACATTACTTTAGCCCAAACTATCAATATCTCTCCTCTCCCCACTGCACTATGATAATAGACTCTTAGAAGGTCTTCTTACATCTTTTCTTAAGAAATCCCTCAAGCTCCAAGCAGCTCCCCGCGTAGAAGCAAATTGGATCACATCACCATTCCCATTCCTACAGTCATTCAATATATACTGTTGAATCATACCTCATGCCAGGCAACAAACTAGGTGCTGGGGACACATGAATATGAGAGAACCAAACAAAAACCCCTACCCTGTGTGTATTAAATCAAATATGTATCAAGGAGGGGAGAGAGGCCAAACAATAAACAAGATAAAAAGGCTTAATATATAGAGTGGCTGGTCGTAGGCACTAAGGAGAGAAAGAAGGTGGGGAAGGAGATCCCATCTGTGGAGGAAAGGACAGTGTCTTCAATATGGTGGCCAGGCAAGTCCTCCTTGAGAAGGTAAAACATGACATTTGAGCCAGGACTCCAGAGAGGTGACAGAGTAAACCATATTCACATATCTGGGAAAAGAGGAATCCAGGAAAAAGGAATGGCAAGAGAAACGGCCAGGAGTCAGGAAGGTGCCTGTCACATTGCAAGGAATCCATGTTACTAGAGCCAGGTGAGTGAAGGCAGAAAGCAATAGGAAAGGAGATCAGGGAGAGACAGATCAGCAAGCAGGTGTCACCACCTTGTTTAACTACCTCAGTGGGTCCCTAAACTTTAATAAACTCTGTAAGACCCTGTGTGCTCTGCCCCACCCATCTCTCTGGCCTCCTTTTACCAGTGAAACCCAGCCCCAGCACAGTACAGCAACCAGCACACATCAAAACACGTCTGTCGGGTGAGTACCTGTGCCTACTACCATTCAGCACTTCAGCATTTGGAACACTTTCAGTGTCTCTGTAGGCCACCTGATAGGAAGAGCTGTTGTCTGTATTACTCACTTTTGTATTTCCAGCTTCTTACAAGTGGCATTCATCAGGTATTCCGGTAACATATCAAACAACAAAATTTGTTCCGTAAGACTTTTTGTCCTTACTGGTAGGTAAAATCATCTTTACTAAGGAATACAAAGTTTGACTAGGGAACAAGGAACTAGGAATGTCATAGGAAATGGAGTGGTATAGGGTACATGGAGTGAGGTACCACAAAGGTGACATGGGGCATCATGGGAGCACAAGGGTTACCAGAAAGAGAAGTACATCAAAGTGAGTTCCACCAACATCTCCCCTTCCCCTGGGCCCAGCATACTCACTTTTCCCATCCCTGGGAAAAGAGCTCAAGCTGTTCTCCCTCTCCCTCAAAATGTGACCAAAATTTCACCAATAATTTAAGGCCATCTGATAACTTTTGTAGCTTCCTTGTCATCTTTTAATCCTTTGCACTTCCTAGAGCAAGACTGTGTACATAGTCGGTACTCGGTTAACGATTCTGTGCTGATCTCAGTGACCAAAAGCAAAGTCCCTTTTTTAAATATTTGACACAGGGCTACCCCTGATTCTAGGAAAGGGAAAACAATCCCCTCTGCTTTTTTTCTCTCCTCTGGACACACAATATGCAACCTGTTACATTAATTACAGCTTGAGTTAGTTCGTGGAGAATCAAATCACCATGTTAAACAGCTATGAAATAAGTTCCAAATATTAGTAAGCAATCCATTTGAAAATTGGGCACTACCTATATGAAAAAACATTCATCTAATTTCTGTTTAGTTACAGAATACAGTGATAATCTTCACAGAAAAAAAATAGTATGAAAGGCATAATCCTACAGCCAAAATAAAACTAACCTTAATTCCACACAAATTTATTTGGGCAAATTTTAACCCCAGGATGATTTCTCCCAGGTAGCCTTCCTTGGGCCTGTCTCAAATGTGTGTTTTGGTAACACAGACTGATTTTACTATCTCTTTAAAACACAAATATGTTGGAAACGAAAAATTGTGTACTGCATTTTAACATCAAATAGAACCTACATTAGGATATTAGCCACTGTTGTCCTCTGCTACTGAACATGACAAAATCCAAATTATACCTTAATGTCTTGATTTTATATTACAATGCACTGGTATTTTAAATACGCCCTCAACCTGAGACATTTTGACAAATGTAATGCACGCACGTGTAGATGTAAATGAGTAAAAAATTCCCAACTATGTGCGAAAACGAAATGTTTTATTTTAGTATAAATTCCTAGCTGTGTACAAAAAAAGAAAATCCGCAGGATTCTTCACGGTGCTGCACCCTCCTCCCTCCCATCTTTAAGAGCCATATGAGTCTAAAGGAATGAACGAGACACTTCAACCAGGTACATTTCAGTACGATCCAAATGGTACCCAGCCCGGGGTCCTCCTTGCACCAAAAGCCAAGCACATCTGGGGTTTTTCCCCAGCAGGACGCAACAGCCGGAGCGCGGCGGCGGGAGGCGCCCAGCGCCGACACCCAGCCCCTCCCCATACGCTGCGGCCCCGTACAGCCTGCTTACCGATGATGGGCTTCTTGGCGGTGTCACCGTGGGGTCTGGACAGCCGGAGGCTCGCCGCCCCGCAGAGTAGCAGGCCCAGCACGCACAGTAGG